CATAACCATGCCTCCCGAGTTAACTTGCGCTGCTACCTGTGCCATGTGAGTGAATCCAAAACTGCTCATTAGTGTTCCATGATCCGCCATTTTTGTTTCCAAGAGTACTACTAGGAAAGGCCTGTTGTAGTCTAGCATAGACCTGAAAGTTCTTCTAAACTCCGCATTCCCCGCTCCCCTACAATTCCATAGGATCATACTCATTGGTCTAGATGGGGGTGGGGTGTTCTCCTCCGCTTGTGCATGGGGTGGGCTCGCCATGTTCATGTTGGCATACATCGTTGGGATCATTACTATTCCATATTTGTAGGTTGTTGGTGCTGTCAGTTCCCTTATATTGATCGAGCACTTCCTCAAATTCAGCGGGCAACGTAAGATTACCCTTTTTTCTCTTCTTTCCTTGAACACCAGTGTTTTTGACGTGCGTAGCATAGCGTATTCCACTCTTCGTGCTGTTGATGTTCCTTCCCCTTCTCCCTCCTCGTCCGTCAGTTGCACTGTTGGAGTCGGGGCAGTGTTGTTTTGGGCTTGTTCTATGTTGGAGTAGTTCATGTGTGGAGGGTGATTGTGGGTAGGGTTGTTGTGGAATAGTGGAAGGTTCATGCTTAGAGGGATCGGGGTACTTGGGGTGTTCCTCTGGAGACGGTTCCATGGGGATGGGTGGGCCCCCATGGTTGGGTGCTGGAGGTTTGGTTGGGGCTGTGGGTGCATTAGGGTTAGCCATGGGTGGTTGGCTACATTGTCCAACCCAATCCGTAGTCCCTCCGTTACAATTTGGGCTAGGTAACTTGGATTCTCTATTTGAATTATGATGTCCCTCCCCTCTAGATGTAGGTTCATATTCAGTGAGAATCCCGTTAGGCCGTATTCCAGCCATGAAAGTGGTGTGTGATTCATTGCTAGTGGGGGAGTTGCATACACTAGTGGTTGGCTTTGACCTAGTGTTTGGTTGTTCATCTGTTGAGCAGCTTGGTTGCGTGACCAAACGTTCCTCCTGTGGTTTCTTTGATGCCTCCTGTAGAAGTTGTTGGTGGGTAGCCTTGGCATCTTTGGTAAGTTCTTGGTGATGGTGGTTTTGGTTGTGTTCAGTTGGTTCTAAAGCTTTGTTGTCACAGGCTGGTGAGCTTAAGTAAGTTGATGCTTTTGTTCTTGAATATGCATGGTTTTTTGGGGCAGGGAGGTAACGTACACAAGGAGTGGGCTGGGGTTTGTACTATGATTGTTGGAATTGATGTGAAGTTTGGCTGCTGAGGATTTAGTATCTTCATTGGTCAGATTCCTTTTGTCAACATTAAATGCATTCTTGACCTCTTCTTGGGTGGAACAAAGGTCAACTTCCATTGATCCCTCATCATAGGCAGTAGTGTCATTTAGCTTAGCAGTGATAACCGTTGGTTTTGATGGATTGGCATATGGTGTGGTGTTATCCCTGCATGGACCGATGGGTATTTTTGGGTTGGGAGGGCTTTCTAATGCATTAAAGGTTCCAGGCTTTTGGTTAATGAAGGAGGGTGTTTGTGTCATTGGTGATTTGGTATAACTTAAAAGCTTATGGTTAATATCTGTAGGGTCCTGAGGTTGTGTCAATTTAGAGTGTACCGTGTCCATTTTGTCATTCACTAGTGCATTTAATGCCTTAAACTGATTGCTATTGCTTTTGTCTGGATTTGTGCTATTGTCCAATGTGTTTTGTTGTGTATCCTTCCTCCTAAACTCCTGTCGTTTGTGTGGTGTTTGGCCGGCTTTTGCATTCCTCAGTTCATCGTGGGACTTCTGTTCAACTTGCATTTTTTGTTCTAGTTTTGAATGTTCCAGTTTTGAATGTCGTTGTGGAGGGGGGCTTAGCCTTTCCGTTTGGTCTTGTCTTGGCTTAGTTCTCTTGTGAGTAACTATGGTCCAATGATCTATCTCTTCCGCTAGGGATTCAATCCCATCTTCATTTTTTTGAATCCCTTTTACTGCATTAGTCTTCGAGGTCGTTAGTTGAGGGCAGTTAGTTAAAGTGTGACCCAATTTACCACAATGGGAACACAGCATGTTGAAACCTTCATATGCAATTCTTTGATAATGGCGTCTAATTATAACATGAGTTTTGAGAGGGCTTTCTATAGGTGCTAGGATACAAACTCTCCCGTATTTGCCCCTAGTAGCTGAAGCAGTACATGCGTCGATCCTTAGTAGCTTCCCTAGTTTAGATCCTATTTTTTGAAGGATTTCATAGTCATAAAATTCCGTTGGTAGTTCTGGTAGTCTGGCCCAGATGGCTGAGTAAGTTTGTGAGGCTGCTGAAGCTACGAACTTTGGTTCCCATTTTCGAACAGTGAGAAATTGATTTCCTATGAACCAAGGTTCTCCATGGAGAGCTTTGTCGTAGTTTTCTGAGCTTATGAACTTAATTAGGTAGTAATCATGTCCTAAATCTATGAGTGTGATGTTCTCCGTTGGTTTCCATATGGTCGTTATTTTGTTTTGTAGGAAAGCATAGCTTACCTTCCTACCAAATAGTTTAATGATAACAGCGTTGGTCCAGTTATTGTAAATCCTTTCTTTGTCTGTGTGTGTTATAGGAATGAAGTTTTCGGATTCATATTGGTTCTCAGTTTCATCTGAAGTGTCATGGCCGTCCACAGATTTCTGCACTGCTATTTGGTTTTGGTGCTGTGTTTCTGCCAGATTTCCTTTCAGTTTGAGCAAGAATGAGCTTGTCTGAGCATGGTGTTCCTTAGCTGAGGCTTGAGTGTTAACGATATTGGTGGGTTCATTGGGTTGATCTTGGTCCATCTCCATTGTTAGATTTTTATTACTTGTTCCTGCATCTGTGGGCTTGAAGTTGTTTATGTTCATATAGAAGTCTGAGATTCTTTGTTACCTACGTGTGTTATTGCTTCTTGTTTGGTGAATGGGAGTTTATTTTGCAGATTTTGGTCGCTTATTCTTTTTCTAGAGAGAAGCAGGAGCTTCTCTTTCTAACTTCCTTTCATAGCTCAGAGTCAGTACTATACTTGGTATCTACTTGTGCAGCTTTGGCTGTTCATTGTTTGGGAAATAAGAGAGGGGAAAATGGGATAGTATTAAATACTTAAGTACAAGAGGGTGATAGAAACTCTTTCTCGTACCTTACCTTTTTTTTTTCTATAATATTAAAAATTTATTCTTCATATTGTTGGTCCATGATATCATGAAACGATGAAAAATAATACAATTTATCTAAATATTGTATACATTAAAATGATACAAATACAATACAATATATTATGAAACGATACATAACAACCGTCCAAACAAACTGTAATCTTGGATTAAAAAGGGCTGATATGCTTGAATATTATAACTGCATGAATCTATATAAATTGTAATTTTTTTGGTTTAACCATATGGTATTTGAAGACCACTGACTAATTCAGATTCATTGCGCGTAGAGTCCACTAAATAAGGAAACGCTCTCTATTTGGAATTTTTACATTCTCATGACTCAAACGCGAAAACTCTAGTAAAAAGAGTTCTATTTATCTTACTACACTCCTAAGAGATTACATAATTGGTAACTATTTGCACTTCACAACCGTTTAAAAGTCTGCTTGTAAAATATTGGTCAAATATTGATCAAATGATTTACCTCTTCAAATCTAGTAAAATAACCTTTTAATTGAAAGTCTCAATTCGTATTCAAGAGAAGTTAAAAGTAAAAGCTAGTAGAATAAAATTGGACAATAGGAATGTTAATATAATACCATGATTTGATACTTCAAAGGGTCTTTGCTTTCTAAAAATTCAACTATTTCCATTCCATAGGAAGAAAAGAATCGTAACACTTTTCCCCCTTTCTTTTGTTTTGGCTATTTAAGTACAAAACTATGTTTTGGCTATTCCTTTTCCCCTTCTTGTTTGGAATCTCCTTCTGATTCAGGACTCTATAGTGATCTGGAGCGAAATTATATGTGGCCAAGAATGGTCAATTAAACACCCTTTGCCGAAAAATTATATTGTGTATAAAATAAAACGTTATTTGTTATTGATTAGAAATACACTTTGAAAACCCTTGCATAGTCCACTGACAAAAGATGTTCAAATTTTGAACGTCCTTATTGAATTTTCTAGCTAACGAATGTGTTAAACTATCGGCGGGAGTAAAAAGATCTCAAAGAATTAATTTTTCTTTTCGTTGTTGAATTTCTCTTTGACTAATTAATGTGTGATATTATGTATCCTCATTACTGACAGAATCCAATTGATCTTGAATTTCGCCAATTAATACATGTACCATGAAGTTACAAAGGTTGTACTTGCGAATCACCCCCTAAAGCAAAGTAGGCACAACGAAAAACAAAATAATATAATACTAGTAATTCCTTCCGTCTATTTTCTTCAAACAATTTTGAGATACAGGGGCGGAGCCGGCCCTTCGGCTACGGGTCGGTCGAATCCAGTAACTTTGGTCCAAACCTTATATTTGTCTTAAGAAATTCATTGAATACATATAAATTATTAAGTTAGAACCCAGTAACTCAAAAGAGTTAGCTAGCGTTTGGCCATAGATCCCAAATTTATTTTGAAAAATCTGATTTGGGTGAAGTTTGGTTTGAAGATGAAAATGTGTTTGGACATACGTTTTCAAAACATATTTTCCAACTTTATTTTGAAAAAACATGTATATAATTCCCAAGTTTTGGGATTTTGGCCTAAAATTTAGCTCAATAGCTGATTTTGGAATTTAAAATTTTTGATTTGGGATTTGGCCAAAATATGAGAAAAATTTATGGCCAAACATGAGTTTTGAAAATAAATCTCAAATTTATTTTGACAAAACTTATGGCCAAACGGGGCCTTAGAATCCTGAACCCATAAACTTCAAATCTTGGCTCCGCTTCTTTTGATACACATACATTCTTGCACACAAGTATTGAATTTGTACAACCATCTCTCCCTCCAAGTTAACTGCTTTTTTAATGAAAAAAAATCAAAACGGTTTCACTATTAGTTTCCAAACAATTATAACCAAAGGCAAGAAAAGCAAAATTCCTTTCTTCAAAATAAAAGGTAACAATGATTTTGTCCAAATTGGTAAAATCACAAATTTACCCTAAAAAATCATAGCCTTCATTCCAAGCATCTTTAATTCTTTATTCCTCATTAGTTTACAACCCCATGTAATCCAATAGATCCTCGACGCGCCACCGCTAGCGCGTATATACATCTCTTCTAAATCTAACAATAGACAGCTAAATTACATCATTTCAGTCTAATTATGATGTTCTATAGCACTAAAAAGTTAACGTTTATTTACAATAACCTACATTAACTTTGGTAAAACACCAATCTGGTCCCATATTCTTTACACGTGCGTTAGAACTCCGTTAACGAAACGTTATTTCTCCATTCATCATGTGACGGCGACCATAACGGCGACGGCGGGGCCTTCAGTTTCTGCAAATACTCCGTTACATCAAACCCACCTCTCTTCACTTCCTCCGTCAACTCCGTCCCATCTTTCGACGGTAAAAACGGCGGCCGTACAACTTCCGTTAACAAATCCCATTTCAGCCCACGAAAAAACTCATGCTCCTTAATCTCCAACGCGCCTCTCCGATAACCCAGCCGGCGCGTGGGATCTTTCTCCAGCAATTTACCGATCAAATCCGTTAGAGCATTTCTCTTCCCAATAAACTCCGGCTCCATCATCAATATTCTACTAAACGTTTCCTTCTTATTTTTCCCTTTAAACGGCGTCGTTCCATACAACATTTCGTAACATAATACCCCTAAAGCCCACCAATCTACTGCAAATTCATGCCCTTCACCTCGTACAATTTCTGGTGCAACATATTCCTCTGTACCAACAAACGAATTCGAACGTTCGTAAAACGAACTCGGATTTCGTCTACTCACGGGCGAAACGCGTGCACTTTTCACTTTCCTTAGTCCATTTTTGGTCGTGGTCGTGGACCTAGAATATGTGCATGTTTTCTTCGGAAGTACAAATTTAGCTAATTGTTTGAATTTTTTGGGTTGTATTGGTGCTGGAATGTTATCTATTTCAGGATCTGAATTGAAATCTAAGGAACTCAGATTTTTCTTCAGAGTTAAGCTTTTGCAAAGATCGAAATCCGTTAAGGTAACGTGACCGGATTGTTGAATAAGAATATTCTCGGGTTTGAGATCACGATAAACAATGCCTAAAGTATGAAGATATTCAAGAGCGAGTATAATTTCAGCTAAATAAAAGCGAATAGCTGAAGGTGAAAAAACATGGTCGCTTTGTTGATAACGGAGGACATTAAGGTCACCGCCGGAACAATAAGGGACAGCGTAGGAAAGCATGTCGGGGGTTTCGGAGAAGCCGAGGAGAGTAGGGAGGAAAGGGTGGTGGAGACGGTGGAGTACGGTGGTTTCCCACCGTGCACGGCGGTCGGAATCGGGTTTTGAGAATTTGTCGATGACTTTGAGGGCGAAAGGGGATTGGGATAATGGGTCGGTTATAGTGTTGTGGACTAAGAAAACAGTGCCCATTGCACCTTTGCCTAGTACTTTGGTGGCTCGTAGGTTGTCTAAGTTTAAAGGTGGAAATGGCGATGTGGGATTATCCATTGTAAGAAATGAGAGAAAGAGAATGAGAGTGTGTAAAAATAGAAGGAGAGATTATATATATATATATAAAGAAGAGTGTACGTGCGTTTTATTCAGGCGCTCGTGTGTGTGTGTGTGTGTTTTCGGGGAAGAAAGGGGAGAGCTG